TACATGAATGTTGATCGTTGTGGTAATCTATAAATAAATGTTGATCGCTGTGGCAATCTTTACATAAATTTTGATTGCTGTGGTAATCTATACATAAATCTTGATCGCTGTGGTAATCTATGTTGATCGTTGTGGTAATCTATGCATAAATGTTGATCGTTGTGGTAATCTATGCATAAATGTTGATCGCTGTGGTAATATATACATAAATGTTGACCGCTGTGGTAATCTATACATACACCCTGATCGCTGTGGTAATCTATACATAAATGTTGACCGTTGTGGTAATCTTTATATAAATGATGATCGTTGTTGTAATCTATACATAAATGTTGATCGTTGTGGTAATCTATACATAAATGTTGATCGCTGTGGCAATCTATACATAAATGTTGATCGCTGTGGTAATCTATACATAAATGCTCATAGCTGTGGTAATCGACACATCAATGTTGATTGTTGTGGTAATCTATACATAAAGGTTGATCGCTGTGGTAATCTTTACATAAATGTTGATCGTTGTGGTAATCTATACATAAATGTTGATCGCTGTGGTAATCAATACATAGATGTTGATCGCTGTGGTAATCAATACATAAATGTTGATCGTTGTGGTAATCTATACATAAATGTTGATCGCTGTGGTAATCTATACATAAATGTTGATCGCTGTGGTAATCTATACATAAATGTTGATCGCTGTGGTAATCTATACATAAATGTTGATCGCTGTGGTAATCTATACATAAATGTTGATCGCTGTGGTAATCTATACATAAATGTTGATCGCTGTGGTAATCTATACATAAATGTTGATCGCTGTGGTAATCTATACATAAATGTTGATCGCTGTGGTAATCTATACATAAATGTTGATCGCTGTGGTAATCTATACATAAATGTTGATCGCTGTGGTAATCTATACATAAATGTTGATCGCTGTGGTAATCTATACATAAATGTTGATCGCTGTGGTAATCTATACATAAATGTTGATCGCTGTGGTAATCTATACATAAATGTTGATCGCTGTGGTAATCTATACATAAATGTTGATCGCTGTGGTAATCTATACATAAATGTTGATCGCTGTGGTAATCTATACATAAATGTTGATCGCTGTGGTAATCTATACATAAATGTTGATCGCTGTGGTAATCTATACCAATTGTAAACTACCAGGCTGATCATACCACCAAACAACACACAACAACCACATCATAACAACATATATTACTGTACTGGTTATAAAGCTATCATTTTAAGGCCATTCTGTCCATAGGAACTGTGATGAGAAAACACACTTAAACCTGTACTAAGTCGACTTCGAATTTCTATCATCTAAAAAAAGAATAACCTCCGGACAAACACTTCCTAATGCTCGGTACATTTTACTCTGGAATTGAATCTATGTTGGTTTTACCGAGCATGAAAGAGATTTTTGTGGTCCGAAATATGATCCCTTATGTGTAATTATACAAGTGTCTGTAAGAACGTAAATCCGTGTCCCCTTCCTCTGTTATTACAATATGATAACTCTATCAACATTTGGCAAGCTTTACAATTGTGCACAATCGTATTAATTATGTTATCAAATTATCTGCCTACCTGAGGTAACCGAATCGGGGCTCTAATTTAGGCCAGGCTTTTGTGGCAGGTAGCTGCTCTGGTTAGTGACCTTGCTAAGTAATTGTGATCTGCTCTTAACTAGTAAAGTACTGTCATCTTAACGTTCATTATTCAAAGTTTATTCATTTCTTGATTTATTACCATAATAAAAAGTTGGAAAAAGACAAAAGCATACCAAGTGCGTTACATTATGGGTTGATTTCATCTAATCTTAATTATTTTCATGAGCAAACTTGTGAAGCAAAATTTTAGAATCGTCATAATATATTGTAGATCCAGCATTGCTTAATCTAACTAGACTTTGATATCTTGACTTGCTTGAAATATAACGACAATTTCAAAACGCTGGGAATATTTTTCATGCATATTGAAATTGACTATTTAATAGATAAGTTGTCTGGATTCAAAATGATCACATTTCAATAATATTATCAATAACAAATATATGGATGATATTAGGTACAATATCAATAATGTTGACGTAGAATATCTTATGTATTTAGTGAAGATGACAGTACCTTTGTGATTAAGTTGAACCTGGTACGATAAGGGCGGGGTACCACGGCATGCTGTGACAGATATAGCTTTATACAGCATGGTGACAGATATAGCTTTATACAGCATGGTGACAGATATTATACAATTATGGACTTCAGGTGACGTCTATCCCTGATTTACGAACCTGGTCTGAACAATATTCACAGAAGCCGAAGGCCGAGGTGAATATTGTTCAGACCAGGTCCGTATAATATGGTAATTAGCACCAGTCATATAATAAAGCTTTATACAGCATGGTGATACATATAGCTTTATATGGCATGGTGACGGATATAGCTTTATACGGTACGGTGACGGATATAGCTTTATACAGCATGGTGACAGATATAGCTTTATACAGCATGGTGACAGATATAGCTTTATGCAGAATGGTGACAGATATAGCTGTTGTTGTCATTCCTTCTGTGTGGGTGTCTCCTCCGACGCTGTTGTTGTCATTCCTTTTGTGTTGGAGTCTCCTCCGATGCTGTTGTTGTCATTCCTTTTGTGTTGGAGTCTCCTCCGACGCTGTTGTTGTCATTCCTTTTGTGTTGGGGTCTCCTCCGACGCTGTTGTTGTCATTCATTCTGTGTTGGTGTCTCCTCCGACGCAGTTGTTGTCATAACTTTTGTGTCGGTGTCTCCTCCGACGCTGTTGTTGTCATTCCTTTTTTGTTGGTGTCTCCTCCGACGCAGTTGTTGTCATAACTGTTGTGTCGGTGTCTCTTCCGACGCTGTTGTTGTCATTCCTTTTGTGTTGGAGTCTCCTCCGATGCAGTTGTTGTCATTCCTTTTGTGTTGGAGTCTCCTCCGATGCAGTTGTTGTCATTCCTTTTGTGTTGGAGTCTCCTCCGCTGCTGTTGTTGTCATTCCTTTTGTGTTGGAGTCTCCTCCGATGCAGTTGTTGTCATTCCTTTTGTGTTGGAGTCTCCTCCGATGCTGTTGTTGTCATTCCTTTTGTGTTGGTGTCTCCACAGACGCTGTTGTTGTCATAACTGTTGTGTTGATGTCTCCTCGGACGCTGTTGTTGTCATTTCTTTTGTGTTGGTGTCTCCTCCAACGCTCATATAGCTTTATATGGCATGGTGACGGATATAGCTTTATACGGTACGGTGACGGATATAGCTTTATACAGCATGGTGACAGATATAGCTTTATACAGCATGGTGACAGATATAGCTTTATACAGCATGGTGACAGATATAGCTTTATACAGCATGGTGACAGATATAGCTTTATGCAGAATGGTGACAGATATAGCTGTTGTTGTCATTCCTTCTGTGTGGGTATCTCCTCCGACGCTGTTGTTGTCATTCCTTTTGTGTTGGAGTCTCCTCCGATGCAGTTGTTGTCATTCCTTTTGTGTTGGAGTCTCCTCCGATGCAGTTGTTGTCATTCCTTTTGTGTTGGAGTCTCCTCCGATGCAGTTGTTGTCATTCCTTTTGTGTTGGAGTCTCCTCCGATGCAGTTGTTGTCATTCCTTTTGTGTTGGAGTCTCCTCCGATGCAGTTGTTGTCATTCCTTTTGTGTTGGAGTCTCCTCCGATGCAGTTGTTGTCATTCCTTTTGTGTTGGAGTCTCCTCCGATGCAGTTGTTGTCATTCCTTTTGTGTTGGAGTCTCCTCCGATGCAGTTGTTGTCATTCCTTTTGTGTTGGAGTCTCCTCCGATGCTGTTGTTGTCATTCCTTTTGTGTTGGTGTCTCCACCGACGCAGTTGTTGTCATAACTGTTGTGTTGGAGTCTCCTCCGACGCTGTTGTTGTCATTCCTTTTGTGTTGATGTCTCCTCCGACGCCGTTGTTGTCATTCCTTTTGTGTTGGTGTCTCCTCCGACGCTGTTGTTGTCATAACTTTTGTGTTGGTGTCTCCTCCGACGCTGTTGTTTTCATTCCTTCTGTGTTGGTGTCTCCTCCGACGCTGTTGGTGTCATAACTGTTGTGTTGGTGTCTCCTCCGACGCTGTTGTTGTCATAACTTTTGTGTTGGTGTCTCCTCCGACGCTGTTGTTTTCATTCCTTCTGTGTTGGTGTCTCCTCCGACGCTGTTGTTGTCATAACTGTTGTGTTGGTGTCTCCTCCGACGCTGTTGTTTTCATTCCTTCTGTGTTGGTGTCTCCTCCGACGCTGTTGTTGTCATACCTTTTGTGTTGAGTTTATTTTTTGTTCTAGTTTTGTTTGTCATTTTGTTTTGATGTCTCCTCTCGGTAATGATGCTACCTTTCCTGTTCACTCTGTTCCTGTCATAGTCTGTTTCTGATTTGTTGCATACGAGTTTCAATTCAATATTCACATAATACCCGAGGAGAGGTGTTTTCCAAAACATTTTTTTTTAAATAATGATTTATTCCTGCTACAATTTCAAACTGTTTGATTGTTTTGATTTATAATGTTTCCCAATAATAACGTGTAACGCGGAAATGATAGGAGAAAATCGGAATTTCATGAATATTTGCAAGAACTCTTGGAATAGGTATACTATTACGAAAATTATTTTCATTTCCATTTCATGTTCGACCTATGAAATTCGTTCCAAAGTGTATATTTTAGCTCAACAGGATCGATGGGAAGCACGTATGAACGTAAAGTTGTATATTCATTAAAGAATCCATTAAAACAGAACTGAAACTATTATATACAACAAAAGCTATGTGTTAGGAAACACTCTATTTTTTATAAGATTTTACGTTTGTTTCCTTTCTTTATCTATATAATGAGGAAAAGGATATAGCCTCTGATGATGTATGAAGAAATCTACCGGATTAACGTAACCGTCTGCAGTGAAGAAAATATATTATGTCAATCAGCACAAGCTAATGATCCGGAACATCTTGATTTGGGAACTTATTTCATAGCGCACATTTTTATTTACTTCCCGGATTTCTGAAGGTAAGCTATGTATATTTCTTGTGTTTGTGTGCACATAACGATTTGGGTATCACCTACGCTTGAGATAGAAGAAGATTTTGGAATTATGATGGTTGTAATGCATGGTAGGACCAACTGTATCGATCTGTGCATGAATTCAAGCACAAGTAAACAGCTAACACTGGATTAGACGTCAACACTTGGTGTTTTTACTTCGTTGTGGCGTTAATGTGTTGAGATATGTCTGTTGTTGTGATGTTGGTTATAATAAGATTGTGTATCAAATGAGTATTACTAGCGTGTAGCAAGGGAAAATGTTGTCATTATTCTGTTTCCCCCAGTAGCAGCGTCCTCATAGCGAAATCACCGGTGTGCAGTGTTACTGAAAACAAAGACCCAGTAAATACCTCCGGCTTGAATGAGCACAAAATGTGATATTTTTATGTGTATGATATTGATCAACTTTGTATAAGCAGTACATAAGTTTTATCGCGCAATAACAAAGTAAATATATTTACATAAATGCTGCAGGGTAAGATTAACTCATTCACCCCTGAAGACACATTTGAACTCAAATTCAAAGGTTGGAATAGTCCTTTATGGAATTTTTAAAATACCAGTGGTTGTTAAGTATTCGCTTCAGTCATATGACGATATCCATATATTTGGCCAGTCAGTGGCCATAGAAGGGGACAGGAATATGTTTAGTTTTTGTGCCGGTGTGTATTGCTCCGTTTTGATCCATTTGATTACGGGTGATCCCAGGGTTGGTCGGAAAAGGACTACTAATAGTGTAGTCTTGTCCATGTTGCCAACATTAGTGTTTTGTTTCACTTACCTGTTATACTTTCCCTGTGAATGCCTCGTTGTAAAGAAGTGACTTGATACAAACTTAGTTTTTAGTCGGGGATCTAGATTTTCATCAGCCTCTCAATTATTTCTGCCGTCCTAACTTAATTTTCTGTATATGTCCTGAAGAATCTCGCCTTTATCATTCGTTCTCTTGACTTCAAATAACAAATATAGCCTTTCAGCAACTCGAATTTCTAAATCTACTTTTTCATTTTTGTAGTAACTGATGTTTTTCATGTCTTTCTGGAATTCTTAATAACTTCCGATTTGGTTTGATCCTTTTCCTTTACTGTATTGTGTTTCTTGTATTTGTTTTAATGTTACTTTTCTATCTCATTTATCCTGTTACATACTGAATTAGTTGAAGTCATCTTGAATATAATTTTGGCACTAACTCAGTCGCGGCAGTACTTTCATCTGGTCAATATTTTAGTCTGCTTGTGCTGATTCTGAAAAAGAAGTGAGTGATGTGGGGTTCCCTGAAGAATCGGTGTTTCCCTCGTGAAGCCAAAACGATCTGCAGCACCCATGCATTGCAACCATTCAAATGGTGATCTCTATCTAATCGTGTTCTTCCCATTTCCTACACTGTTTTGTTCCTCAGTCCCTCCTGTCACGCCTGCTGTTTACCTTTTTTGTGTAAACAGTTATGTATGTATTGCCGTATTTGGTTGATAGTTCGTTAAGACATGACACACACTGATTCATCACTGGTACATATGTATTATAATTAAATAGTGTTTCGAAACGTTCATTATTCGTCGTGGCATCACGTTCTTATCGGTCCGAAAACGCTGTATATTTCTTTTCGTCAGATTTGCATGATGTTAATTTCGGTCTCAATTTATATCATTATAGAGACACGTTAGTTCCTGTATGACAATTAAGGTTGATTATGTGTTAATTATATGCTGGTATCGTCTATAGGTGAAAGGCTACCCCAATGCAATCCTAAACGTCAAAACTGAAGATGACGCAGAGAGTATTAAGTTGTGGATGTGGGATATTCAAGAGATGGAAAACAGTTCTGCTTAATACTCCACGATCCTTTAGCTCAGGCGGACCAGACAGAGCAGCACAAACTTCTTCTAGATCAAACGCTGTAAAAGAAACACATATTTCTAAATTATTGACATTGCGAAGTTTGAATAATTCTGACAAACAGTCAAGGAAACTTGTTCTTTTGTTTGACTGGCTATACGCTAAGCCCGCAGCCGTAGAGAAGTACTGTAAGCTGTACCATGATCAAGGGTTGGATGTCCTTACAATCAACGGCCGGCTGGCTCACTTCCTGTGGCCACCGGAAGGATACAAACTTGCCGAGAGCATTCTCTCATATACTTTAGAAGAACATAAGAATGACGTCATCGTCCATGCATTCTCAGTAGGCGCATACCTCTTTACTCTGTGCCTGATGCTGTCGAGACGTGAACCGGAAAAATATGGAGCTTTTCGAGACAAGGTCAAAGGTCAAGTATTTGACAGTATTGTTCTTGGGTCTTACGACCATATGTCGACAGGGATAGCAGTAGCACTCCCAGGGACCAACCTGATGAAGAAACCCATTCTACAAATGATGGATGTTTACTATAACATGACCAAGGAGACGACCCGTGACGAGTATGATAAACTAGTGGATCTGTTCAAGGTAGACCCGATCATGGCCCCAACGTTGTTGTTCTATAGTTATAACGATCCCATGTGCTATGTTCCATCCATAGAGGAGATGATTACTAACTGGCACCGTGACTTGCCAGCCTTGGACGTCACTAGCAAGTGTTGGGAGAAATCTATACATGCCGCCCACCTCAAGTTCCACCAGGAGGAATACCTGAATCACTGGGGAGCGTGGATGACCAAGATTAGTCAGAACTCTTGATGACAGTTTGTGTATTATGACTGGCAAAATAGCAACAAAGTGTTAGCGTCGAAGTTTTCTGTTGAAACCCATCAGCCGATAAACGTCGTAAAGGAAGGAATGGATAGCTTAGGTTTCAGGAAACATTTGTCAAAGGTAAAGCGATTTGTACAAACAATGCTCGGGTTGTTTTTGGTAAATTCGGAAAGCTGTGTATTGTTTCACCTCTCATCACGTTGTTATTTTCTATTCCTCTTCATGTCCGTTTATCCCATACTAATACTGCTTATGAATTCGGGTTCTAATCCAACATTCAGTACACTGTACAATGTTCTCGATGTGTTTTTTTTATATATATATATTTTTATTTTTTTTATTTTTTAAATATTTATGAATAAACAGTTTTTATAGTGTCGCAAAGCCAACTGAATATTACAGAACAGTTGGAACTAGACATCGCCTTTGTAGGCAAGTGCTGCACTGGAAACAATGTTCCGCGCCATTATTTTGATGTGATGCTAGTCTCCCAGAGTTCAGCGCGACACTCGCCATAAAAGCTTCGCAACTACCTCTGTGAAATATTATTCTGTTAAAAAAAACATTTCTTTTTACAAAATTTATTACGTTTGCATATCGTTTCATTTTCTTCAAATATGGGGTTAAACAAGTAATGAAGGTTATTTTGTTACATGTGAGAGGAGTTCGACCCTTTGTTATGTCTAATGCTCTGATGCAAGTTACATATGTATCTACTTTTGTTATTGTGTGGGAACATCAAGTTTTATGTCGTAACAAATTATGTCCGGTTTACTAAAATGTTATGTCCCCGTACTAAGTACATTCCATATCTACGTATGTAGTTTGTACGGCATTGTGTTTCCCTCGGGCCAAACGATTCTTGTCAGGTCGGTATGATATTAAAGTGTGCGGTCGACATATATACCCTGGATATGTGTTCATGTATAGCATGAGGAATCATTTAAAACAATTTTCGGGAAATGATAGTCAATTTTCTCTGTTTTGTTTTTCATTTGTTAGAGAAATAAAAAAAATGTGTAAAAACTTCCAGTCTTATTTTGTTTCTTCGAATCAGGAAATTATTCTGTTCTTTTTCAAACACTGCGTAGAGTTAGAGAGAGAACGGAGTGAACAATCAGGATGCAGCTGGTCAAGGCTAGTACTTTCTCTAACATTGTAATATAAATAGTTTATACTTTTAAGAAGGTAATTAAATTTACGTCCCCTTACTACTGTTTGACAGTGTTATACTTTGAGCATTCACCGACTGTGGATGGTCATACCCCGACATTAGATCAACTCCTCTTTCACCTTGAGGTAACTGGCGATATTACCCATAGTGCAAATCTAGTAGGGAGCTTTTCATAAAGGGTCCTAAGTATCGGAAGACTCCTACTATCAACTGGAGTGTAAATGTCAAGATACTGATGGAAGACTGGCAGACAATGGGCAAAACAAGAGCATCCTGAATCGAACTCTCATTCAGAGTGGGTCCAAGCTACTAGGTCCATCATTCAAAAATAATGAGATGCTTGACATGTAACATGAAAACAAAACACTGCCTCGTTTGTATTTGATTCCGCATCTTCACAAGAGTCCTCATAAACAACGTTTCATCGCCGGCTCTTCTAGTTGCTCAACCAAACCATTATCCAAACTTCGTACTGTCATTCTTAATGAGTACCATTAAATAGGGGTTGCCGTCGTTTTGTAGCACTAGTACTGTATACTCAAAAAGTGGAATAAATAGAATGTGGATTTTGAGGAATTCAATTTTTCTTTCGATCAATCTTGAACATTCTCATCTCAAAAATGTCTCTTCTATCCTATTCGACCCTCTGCAATACTTTATACCAAACTGAGAGAACGCCTTTGTCTCTAATTATGAGAGCTGTCTTTTCCAAGAAAGCAGAACGACGATAAGAATATATGGTTGTGAATTTTTTGGAGAATATTTGTGAAAAGCACAACAAATGCCAAAATAAAATGACTGGGCATCTTTGTTGAGTTCCGCGGCAATATTTTCCCACAGACTGTAGGTATTCCCATGGGGACAAACTGACCTCCTCAGGCCGATCTGTTTCTGTTTTCATATGAAGCTGAATTTATTGATGAGCCTATCCGCAATAGTACAAAAACCTTGCCAAGTCCTTCAATTTCACAATTAGATATATCGGCGATGTGCTGACTTTTAATAACAATAAATGTATTGACCACGTTGATCGTATATATCCTCATAGCCTTAAAGGACACCCCATACTCTTTTACTTCAGCCGCTTTCCTCGATCCTTACTTGCAGCATGACCGACGAAAAGAAGGATGATTTCTACTTTCCTATCGAGAACTTTTCCTTTCTTGGTAGTAACACCCCTGCTTCTCCCTAGCTACGGTGTTAACATTATGACTTCCGTGATGGATGTCGACTGCTAACGGACAAACTTACAACATAAGGTTTTCAATGATGCAGGTTAAGGTTCAACAAGCCCTCAAATAGATGCTGTAGTCACCTAAAATGTCAATCCTCTGATAAGTCATGTTCAAAGACCTCAATTAAAAATCGGAGCTTATACAATGTATATATAATTTGAATGTATTGAACTTGTACATTGGCTATTAAAAAATACATAGCCAGGTTAACGTAGACGAAAATAAGGCATTAAGGCTGATGTCGTCCTAAAAATAGCTCACTGAATTTATAACGTCAATTTCTTTTGCGACCTAACTGAATGCTAAGAAATGACCCACAATTTAAAGCTTACATTGTATATAATAATAAACAATATACAGCGCCCTATCTAGCTAGAATAAGCCACTCTAAAGCGCTTTACAGTATTACATAAGTATATACTTTATACAATCAATTCTTTTTAGGAATTCGCATGAGCTTCCTTATCGGGCGCTTACTACCAGTCCTTTGCCACCTGGCTAATATCTCCCTATGTGTGTATGCATGCTGTGATGTTATAAAAGCGCTAGACATGTTATAAACATTGAAGCTGAAAAGTGCCATAAAAACTTTCAATGTTAAGAAAGGAAACTATATATGAAGTTTGAGTGGTGTTATGGTCATAGGTCTGTGGTTTTACACATATATACCAGTATAAGATGTTACTCGGACGTTTCACTATGATTTATTTACATTCCCATAGCAACAATCATCTACTTTTGAGGCCGGTATGCATCTCCACACCTAGTTAAAGAGAAATTAAGGTCTGCATGACCTAGGTTTATAAATGAACTTTGAATAATATGTCATTTCGTAGCATTCAGTTAGGTCGCTATAGAGATTCATATGTTAAAAGTCCGGTGAGCTATTTTTATGATGACATCAGCCTTATGTTTTATTATTGACTACGTTAACCTGGTTATGTACATTTTAAGAAGCTTTTGTACAAGTTCATTATATTTAAATACATATATGTATACATATTCCGATATTCATTAAGGGTCTGTGAATATGACTTACCAGGGGGTTGAAATTTAGGGTGACTATTAAATCTTTTATGAGGCTTGTTAAATCCTAATGAAGAGTATTGACAAGTTGTATGGACGTATCAGGATCTATTTCTTTGTGTGATATAAAGGTCGATGTTTATTGTCATGCTCATTAATGTGCCTTGTCACTACCCCAGTTCTCGGTGTGATGACATTACTTAGATTTGATCTTGTTTACACGGCGGAGGTATCGGTGCAGCAGAAGACGGCCAGGTCTTATTCGCCTTGTACTTATCAATTCTGAGTTTGAAGTGTGTTTTTGATGACACTTAGTAACTTGTTGTTTTTTCCCAAACACATTCATGTTTTTATCAGGTTCTTTCACTTCGTAGCATTCTATGTGCAAAAACAAATTGGTATGTGACCCTGCCTTGATCCTGCGAGATTGTCTTGAACTCCGACTTTCAAAAATATAACCGGAATACATGTACTTTCATGATCAGATGTGGTAGACAATACCTGTCGCAGTTTATTCGATATTCACCGGCTTGGCCAGAATCGGTGACCGATAACCTGTTGTTGAGATATATTTGTTCATGCTACTTTAAGAAAAAAACATCTGGTGTGGCCAAAGCTGTGAATTTGAAACGTAGTTATGGTTTTACAGACAGCCTCTTTCCTCTATGCTCATTTCTACATATATTTCAGAACATATTTTGATAAGAAGTGTCATGATTCCTTAACGGTGGAAATAGCCAAATGGTACAGTAATTGTTTACTTAGTCTTGTTTTCTGCGTCAACTAACCATCTTTTTAATAGTAATTTCTTACTTCATATGTCTCGAGTCTATACCATGATTTCCGTGACACACTCTCTCTCTCTCTCTCTTTCTCTCTCTCTATATATATTGTGCCTTGTGATTTCGTTGTCACTACCCAGAGGTCGCAGTCTGAGAACGTGATATGGCCTGGTTTTATATAAACTTACATGACGGGAGCGTCAATGAAGTACTTTTAAGATAGATATTTGCCGGAACACAATGTCTTATTCTTGTACTTTATCAAACGTCAGGGTTATATCTATCGTTGTTTCATTATTTGCCCAAATTTTGAGTTCGAACTAATTTGTGTGCACACTTCGCTGTTGTCTTGTTGTTTCTGTATCAATACAAATTATGAAATGATAAAACCACGACTTCATCAATCCTGATCAATATGTATGAATTATAATGATTTAACGCGCATACATTTGTACATGTTCATCAATGGTCAGCTTATCAACGATAAATAATCTTATTTCTCCCGATCTGAAAAGTCATCAATCAGTTACTTGCATTTTCAGTAGGTTCCTTTATTAATCGACCCGCTCTGACAACCCCCATTAAACACGAGTTGGAAGGCATTTATTTTAAAGGAAAAGTCATAAAAATAAACAAACAATAAACAATTGATAATATTTTATTGTGCGGAAAATTATCAAAATACTTCGTGCTACACACTGAATACGAATTACACAACATAGACACAACTGTCATTAACTTATACATCTTTTTGTCTGAGGAGATACAAAATTGTGTAGTTATCACAAATAAATCTTTTCTTATTGATATAATAAAATCATGTATTCACGTTGTTCTTGTTGTTATACCAATTAAAAATAACTAAACATGAGCTGATACAATTTTTGGTATCCTTCAAAATTCCATTTTGATTAATTGTAAGTTGTTTGAAATTCACGCATATTTGTGAAAGGACAGGCGTATCAGTACACTTGATACAGAGAACATAACAGCTGTCGCTGCTGAAAGTCGCTTGATTAAATGTTTGCTTCACAATCATATTTCGAATTTGATTTTACTGGTGGTACAATATTTTTTCTACTT